GGATAGAGTCTGGACAACTTTAGATTGGGTAGTCAGGGAAGGTCTCTCTGAGAAGATGACATTTAAGCAGATAAAGAAATAGCGTTTGTTTATGGAAAAGCTGGGGAATAATATTCCAGAGAAAGGGACCAGTCAATGCAAAGGCCTTATAGAGGGGGTTGGCTTGTTGTAGTCAAGGATCAGAAGGAACTCTGGAGTAGAGCAGGGAGGGGTGTCAGAGAGGATGAAGTCGGGGAAGGCAGGGCTAGGCTAGATCATCAGGGCCTCCTTAGCCATTGCACAGACTTTATTTCTATTCTGAATGTGTTAGAAAGCCTTTGGAGGATTTGACAAGTGACAAAATCTGACTTGCAGTTTAAAAAGATATCTCTATCCCAGGAAGAGGAGATAATCTGGGTATACAAGAGCAGAAGCTGCATTCTCCCCAGAACAGAAGGTAGGCATCTTGTATGAAGGAGGAAACTGAGCCTGAGAGAACTTACAAGACTGTTCTAGATCCCCTGGTTTTGGACTTCAGGTTCCCAGATCAGTGCTCCTCTATGCTTCTCTAAGTGAGACATAACTAATGAGTCCCAGGCAAAGGTTCTCGCCCTAGTCTAGGAAGAGGATGAACTTCCTTGGGCAGCCAGACACATGCTCTTGCCAACGTTCTTGCTTCAGGAAATGTCTGGTGGTGCCCACCTTCTGTTTTGTTTAGTTACAAGAAGAGTTGTGTGTGTGTGTGAGCGACAAAGAAAAACTGGGCCCCTTAGGGATTCTGTAGATGTTGGCATGAAAGGCCAAGTCCTAAAGTTACACATTCTCTTTTCCTCTTTCAATCCATCAGCGAATCCTTTGACCCCAACCTATTTCTTGACTCTGGTCACGTTTCTCCAGGGACGCCATTTCTACTCTATCCCAAAGGGCACCCACCACCTAGATTATAATGTGGATGATGCTCCCTGGAGTTGTGCAGAAGTTCTGCTTCTCTGCATCCCACTGCTGCCACCCTACCCAGCAGCCATCCTCTCTCTCACCTGATTTATTGCAGCCAAGACTCAGGTCTTATGCGAGGGAAGACCCCGGCCAGGAGGGCCTCACAGATAAGAGTGAAGGATACTGTGGAGCTTGGGATTTACCTTAAACAGGCAGAAGGGGTATTTTTGGGTAGAAGGAAGGGTTCTCTTTTTAAGTGGAGGTGGCAGTAAGAGAAAATACCGATGTTTCTATATGCTTCAGGCAATAGGTCTGTGCTTTACTGAAAGAACTCTTCGTCCTGCATTTAATACAACCTGGCACTGTGGGGGGTTGGAGGGAAAATGGCTGTATGCGATCCTGTAGTGCTACGGCATTTTATCCACAACTAGGAAGAGGAGGAGGTGGAGGGCTGTGGATGAAGCCAAGACATCCTTTCATGCTCGGGAGCTGGAGAGGCACGGGTGTTGGGAGGCCGCAGCGTCTCAGACCCACTTCTAAGCAGGCTCTGTGTTCTGATGGGCCGCCTCTCCCTGCCTCAGTTATCCCCCTGACTCACCACGTTCTTTCTCCCTGATCAGATCTCTGTTCTGTCTGACCAGGCTAGTCCCCACACCTGCCGCAGTGACGCCTGGGATTGGCTGGATTCTATGAGGTCCAGCCAGCCAGCTTCTTGCCACCATCAGATTCTTTTTTCTCATTAAACAAATGAATCACAATCCTAATTAATTTGAGCAACAGAATTTATGTAACTACTCCCAGCAGGATGTCTGCTCTCAGTCGGTAGTGAGATTAATTCCTCTCTCTGGGAAATTCCAGCCGTGCTGGTCAATAAACCTTAATGATGACTGAAATCTCCCATCTGTCTCTGCTCAGGGCAGGTAAACCTGCTAACCAGACACCCGGCAGCTTGACACAGTATCCCAGACACCAAGGGGATAAGGATGAGAATGTCCTTGCCTAGATGGGTCCTGAGCCATGTGGAACACACAGTAGGTGTTCAATTAAGGACAGGAACTGCCCATTCTAGGGGTGTTCTGAATCACTTGAAACCCACAGGAAGTATTCAGTTTCTATTTATGAAAGGAATAAGAGAGACCGTGTGTTGCTTGGATACTTGTAAAATGGTCTCAAGCTGCTGAACTGCCACCAAGCCAGTCTCTGGCTTTTTCCATCTTTCAACCCTCTCCTTCCCAGGACCATACCTGCTTTAGTCTCAAACTATTTTAAACTTCCTGGGCTCAGGGACTTGGCTCTTGATGTTCCCTGCCCTTGAACTATCTTCTCTCTGCAAAACAGGCCCCATGCCGGCTGCATGGGAGGGAAGGGTAGCGAAGTGGAAAGTATTCTGGAATTAGTTCTAATTCTGGCTCTGCCACTTGCTCATTGTACTTTGCTTCTCTGTTCTTAACGTTTTCCTTGTATGTAAACCACACGAGGTTTGTAGGAAGACTAAATAAGAAAACATGGTGAAAGTGTATCTCACGATGGTTGACTTATTTAGTGACAGGCAGTGTTTTAGGCAATGGGGTATATTGGTGCTCAAGACAAGATTCCACCTCCCAAAGGACTTCTAGACGACAATAAGAAATAAAACAAATATACAATTTTAGTTATGGATTGGTGTGCTCAGAGAAAATAAGAAAAAAATGTTATGTAGTTCTCTCTTTCCTACATTGATTTAAAGGCACAAAATACAGCACAACAAGGTACAACTCACAAGGCACTGAATGCAAATGCCTTCACAATATTAATAACCCCAAATATAGGTGACCACCAGAGAAAGGTGAATTAGAGAATAAGAAAGATTAAAAAAAAAAAAAAGAGTGCAAAAATGAAATTGGGAAAAGGAAAAAAAAAAAAAGAGAGAAAAGAAAGAGAATAAGAAAGAAGAGAGGAGCTGAAACTGGTTTGGCTCAGTAGATAGAGAGTCGGTCTGAGGACTGAAAGGTCCCAGGTTCAATTCCGGTAAAGGGCATGTACATTGGTTGCAGGCACATCCCCAGTGGGGGGTGTGCAGGAGGCAGCTGATAGATATCTCTCTCTCATCGCTGTTTCTAGTTATCTATCCCTCTCCCTTCCTCTCTGTAAAAAAATCAATAAAATATATTTAAAAAAAAAAAGGAGAGGGGAAAAAACTATTTATAGGGGGAGAAAACTCCACTAGAACAGCCACTAATCCCAACAAATACCAGCAACAAATACCTAGAGATGAATGCAAACTACAAACAACTAATATCAAGTGAGGGCAAACAGAAGCAACAAAGAAACAAAAACAGAAAAAAAAAAAAAGTGCGAAACAATCTCACAAGCATCACCCCCTCCCCCATTCCACATATAATCAACAATCAAGTAAACAATAACAAAAGGACAGAGGAAAAAAATTTGGATAGTGAAGAGAAGAGAGAGGTTTGGAGCAGGGGATTGGAAACTAGATATATAAGTAGGGTGAAATTTTAACCGGGGGTAAAAAGAAGAAAGGAAAAATCTAAAGCAGGAATAGGGTAAGAGAAACAGGACAACAAAAGGAGAAAAGTGAGGGAGTGTTGGCATAAAGGTAAAGTGAGATAGAGTAAAATGATGCTAAAGGAAAGATGAAAATAGAATGTAGAACACATCCCAAAGTAAAATAAAGAGAAAATGACACTTTTTTTTAAAAAAAAAGTAAAATAGTAGTAGTAATAATACTGATTGAAAATAAAAATGTAATAATTAAAAAGGTAAAATCAAGTGAGGTAAAAAGAAAAATTTAGTTTCTTAAGTAAAAGAAGAAAAAGAAGTGCAGTAGTGACGGTCATTCACTTCCTCTACTCTTCTGTGGCATGCCTGCTTCCTAGTCAGGACCATATTGAAGTTCCCTGCATTACACTGCTCCTCAGTGTTGTAGGCCACAGTCCTGATTTTCAAGCAGGCAGTATTTCTTTATTTCTTATACTCCTTTATTTGTGCTTACACAAGGGTCAATTTGTGATTCAACCCCTGGGTGGCAGTATTTCTGGACTGACCTCCGGGTCTATAGGTCCTCTCTAGCCAGTGTTTAGATTTTGTTTTCCCTGTGGCACTTAATACAGGTTTTGGGGGAAAGAGTTGCCCCAGAGCTGGTTCTCTGATCGTTATTCCCCGCTCTGATCCCCAGGTTCCACAAAAACAACTTCCCCCTGCAGTCTCTTAAGAGTGTCCCCAATTGGGTGATCCTATGTATTGGGTTTAGTAATCAAAAACAAGGATTTCATCAGGGGAAAAAAAGAGCCAGAGTAAGTGTGCGAAAGTCTGTGCAGTCTTTTTCCCCCTGGGGTCTAAGCAGCAGCACACTTTTAAAATTTTTAGGCTGTCTTTTTGCGCCCAGTTCAGCTACGGGTTGGTTTTTAGAGGTCCCTTCTGTTAGCAGCTCTGCGGATCCCCTTCCACATTGGCGGATCACGCCAGCCCCAACTGCAGCGGAATTTTCTGGCGGCAGCCTTCCCCAGGTCCTCCAGCTGCCCCAGCGCGCGTTTCTTTCTCCTGCCACAGAGATCCTTCTTACCGGTCAATCTTTGCCACACAATGTGCCAATAGACTCATTGTGTAGCAAAGATTGACCGGTAAGAAGGGGTCCTCAAACTTTTTAAAGTGGGGGCCAGATCACGGTCCCTCAGAGAGCTGGAGGGCGGGACTATATGAACTACTAATTCCTACTGTAACACCTCGGCTGCGCTCACTGCCCAAAAAACCTGGCGGGCCGGATCAGACTCCTCTGCGGGCCGCATGTGGCCCGCGGGCCGTAGTTTGAAGACGCCTGATAGAGCAAGGTGAATGCCCTCCCACCTGGGTGCAAGGTGCTCAGGGAAACCGTTCTCCTCACTGGGGGAGAGGGCACTTGGGTCCCCAAACACCACGACTATGAGTGAAGCACTGTTCACACTGCCCTCTACCGAGAAGTGGACAGTGATGCTTTACCTTCATTTGCAGCTTCTCCCTATCATTTCGGTCCTGGGAAGGATAGAATGGGGAAAATGAGAAGAAGGGGGAATGAAGCAAATATTTAAATAATGCTTTAGATATGTGAGTATTATTTAATCTTTTAATTAAATAATAAGTTGTCAGGAAGGTGAGGTGGGATCAGGGCCTGGCTCAGTACGCCAGAGTCTAAGGTGACTATGCTTTGCTTCTGTAGGGGCCTCCCACGGGGGTGGACCTGGGAGGCAGGGGTCAGTGGTTCTCATCACTGGGGATGTTGGGTTGCAGTGGGGGTGTCCATCTGTAGAAGGCCCGAAGAACAAAGAAGGAACCAAGGGGATGTCTGAGTGTGTGGGGAGGGGCCATATTCACTCCCACCAGGGCAGGGAGGCTGGTCTTGCCTCCTACAGTGGGTGCTCAGGTCAATGGCCCTCCTTCCAATCACCGCCATCCTTACGTCTTCTCCGGGCTTCTGCTTGGCCTCAGAAAACAAAAGGGAAAAGAAAAGTCAAACCAGAGAGAAAGATAACAGGATAAAAAAAAAAAAAAAAAAGATAACAGTAAGGAGAATAGAGCGAAAGCAAGACGAATGAAACAGAGGGGAGAAACAGCTGGGGGGGGGGTGGCTGATGGTTTGAGAAGTAGACATCTTTTTGGAAGAAGCTACAACAGAGACAGGTACTTGGGTTGGGACAAACTTACTGCACCTCTTCACCTGCCAGCCTCTCACTCACAGGGGCCCAGGCACCCATGGGCCAGAGAAACAGCTTTGCCAACTCCACTCACTACAGACTGTCCCTCTAAATCAGGTTGGTGCCCTCTTGCAGAAAAGCAGTTTCTGGAAGGTGATTACTTCTCAACGGAGCAGAGCTGGGGCCAGAGGACAGCCCTTTTCTGAGCATGTCACCCTCCCACCCCCCTGAATTTCTGGGTAAGGAAGTTGCCTGGGCCAGAGTCAGCAGGTGGGTGGAGGGAAGGGCTGGAGACAAGGGTGTGGGGAAAGGAGAGAGGAGGGCTAGGGGAGGGACAGAGCTCCACTCTCTTCACCCACACTCACCTTTTGTGGCCAGTTATTCTGCCTTTCCCCCAGGCTGTAGGGATGGCGTGGATATCCCCTGAAAAAGTCCATCGGTTATTGTCAGCTTCTGCACGTGGTGTTGATTGAGAAGCCATCAAATTCAAGGCTCATTCAATACTGTGGGAGCCGATCTTAGTTCACACGTGGTGAGATGGAACTTTTCAAAAGGACCCTTTCTACAGGAAAGAAACAAAACAACCTGTGAACAGGGTGGGTCGAGACCCTTCCATTTACATCTCTATAGTCCCCTCCTGTTCGAGTCGGCACGACTACAAGGCTGCGTTTCTTTTGAGTCCACACTCAGAGGCCCTTCTGGGAGGCAACTGTCCCCACTCCGTTCTGGCCCCAAAGCTCTCCCCAGGCCTGGGCACCCCTCCTCCATCCCCCTCGGCTTCTTCTCCTCTGACCCATCGCCTTTCCTGATGTTCACAATGAACTGGCTGGGCTCTCCCTTTCTTGAGATACGATGTTGGGGGTTGAGAGATTACGAGGAATCAACCTCCTCTTTTTGAAGCAGGACGAGGGGGAAACTGACCCCAGGCCACACAGGAACTGCGGGTGGGGCAGAGACTAGTCTTCCTAGCGCCGTCACCCATTCTAACCCTCAGCATTTACATGGTGCTAAGCCTTTCCCCTTCCTCCTCCTAAGGAACTGCGCGTGGGTCTAGGCTGGCTGGACCGATCCTCCGCACGCCCACCTGCCCGTGATGTATTGGATCCGGAGGTTAGAGGAGAAGGTCTGGGGAGCAGGGCCCTCTCCGTAGGCTCAGCTAGCCAGGAAACTGTAGGCGGGCCCTCCAACGGCCGTTGGAAGCGGTGCTGCTCATTGGCTCAGCAGAAGTGATTGACAGGTCAGTAGCCCAATGAATGATGAGTCTGGAAAGCCAACTGGCAGGGACCAGCCGGTTTTCTCCTCGTGAGATCCTGGGGTAACGGTTCTGGTGAGATCAGTTTGGCTTGTTCCCAGTCCAGATCCAGCATGGTTGTAGGAGAGGGTGCAAACCAGTTTTCTCCTATGTAGAAGGAACACATTTTGGGTCTACAAGTACAAAATTAATCCTTCCAGAGAATATGGGACTGTCATACTGAATGAACCACTTAATGAAAAGGGGGCTTGATTTGGTAACAAGTTGAGGGGAGAATGAGTGGGCTCCGGGGAGGAAACATGGGCAGAAACGGGGACAAAAGACTCAGGAGCCCTCTGAGGGCCTGAGCTAAAGGTGTTTATCGCAGCTTTCTCAGACTGAAATGCCGAGGTCATTCCTGGGGGATATGATGGGGTCACTACTGAGGACTCTCAAAGCCTAGAGGCTGGGGGCCAGGCTGGCAGGCAGGCGAGGCAGCGGCTGTGGTGTTTTTGTCTATGGGCACTGGAGAGGCATCTGCAGGCTGGCTAGGATGGTGATAGGGGAGGCCTGGACTAAGAGATGATTTCTTAGGATGTGTAGGGATGGTTGAAGCACAGAAATGCTTTTCAGAGCACAGCCGGAGAAGTTGTGTCCCCTGAGAGAATGGCAGTGAGTCATTACATGACTTTGTAGAAAAGGAAGTCAGAGATGGAAGAAGGATAAGGCAGGGAATTAAGAAAATATGACAAAGGGAAGAGTATTATAGGGACCTGAGCTCGAGTTCCAGAGAAGCTGAGCAAACATATGCCTGACACATGGTTGTTACTCAGTATGTGCTAGCTGCCATCATCATCGCTCCTCTTGGGAGGACGGGGAAGGAAGGGGCTGCTGAGTCTAATAGTTACAGTAGGATAGGAGCTGAGTGAAGTAAAAGGGAGAACTAGGAAAACAGGACATTCCAGCGATTATCCTTTCCAAATCTAAAAAGAGTCCTGTGAGAAGTGAGGTGAGAGGGGGAGGTACAGTGAGGCAGGCCCTGGGTGAGCTATGTCATCTTAGGCATCAAGCACTGGTGTGGTTGATGGGGTGGGTTTTAGGAAAGAGCCCATCTAGTTGTCTCTCCTGAGGCGTAAGATTTAAGACTCCACTGGAAATTCCCATCGTCATTGTCACCAGTTCCAACTTACTCAGAGACCACTGTTATTTGAGGATTGAGAAGGAAAGAGTCCTTTAAAAGGTTCTGAGCTAAAGAAACCATGTTTTCTTTTCTGTTTTATTTTTTCAAAGGGCAGTGTATATCAATGGAGGCTCATGACTACTTTGGAGTACTGTTCATAGTGCATACAGTTCATAAAGGTTCTGAACAGAGGAACGGAAACCCTGTCATATAATTTTCCATGGCCTTTCCTACCTCACTAGTTTCTGTGTTCCCCTTTATCAAGCCATTGAATCAAAGGCATTTGCTGGCCGCTATAGAGTACGCAGTGCTGAGGAAGCTAAGAGAAAGAGATGTTGAAGGAAGAGTGAAGAATGCCTTGAGTCCCCAAATGACTCAATATGGATCTGTTGAGGGGTGGAGAACTGACAGGCTCACAAAGTGTAAAGTTACTTGGACTAGCTTACCCAAGCTAAGGGGCACTGGTCCACAATACCTGGGGTGGGGGGTGGGCAGTGAGAGAAAAGGGTAGGGAGGAGATAGGCTGGAGAGAGACATGGGAGACACAGAAGACAAGGATAAGAAAGATTGAGGCAAGATTGAGTCCAGAGACAATAGGTGCTGAGGCTGGGTTGAGAGAGCTAAGGACACCGCCCTGAAATGAGCTAGTGAAATTGCCAAGTCTTCAAAGTCTTCCCTATTTGTATTTCCACTGATTCTTAACAATTAAAAAACAGAATGTATAAAGTTATCAGAGTTTCCCAAGATTTCAAAAAGCATCGCATTTACCAACTTACACCCATTTTACATAAACCTTTCAGAATCCTACTGATGCTCCTGATGTTCTTACCATGGGGGTTCAGATCTGGATGACATGGGCAGGTGATATTTGTGAGAGCTAAATCTAGGCAGCTAGCTTCTTGAAGCTGCTCTCATTTTTTTTTTACCCTCATGGACTAAACAGATAGAGGTAGAATGAACTGATCTGGAGAATCTGTGTTTATCATATTGGGATGTGGCAAGATAGTGGCATTGCAGTTGGGTCACAAATGCGGTGACTCATAGTGTCATGACAGGGGTTATTGGCCCTGGAGCAGAGAATCTAGTAGAGCACTGTGATGGCGGGTGAGCAGAGCATAGACTCACAATAAGGCTAGTTTTTGATTATCTTGGATGGTTTGCATGTGGCCAGTGACTAGAAATGCTTTTCTGATAAATGGAGTAGAGACCCAGGCAAGAAGCTGGTAGGAAAGTTTGGGCTGGGCAAGAAGGACCCAGCCACAAATCAGGGCCCTGAAGCCAACTGTTGCTAATATGGGAAGGTATTCTTCCCCTCTTTTCAGAGGGCTATCCAACAGGCCAGTGAGGGTAATTAAGTCAGAGATAGAGGAAGAGGAAGTGAACAGATGAATGAGGCAAATGAATATTCTAGAGAATACAGAGAGGGTGAGGGAGTGCCATTGAACTGATTCTTCTTCAGGCTCATCTATGGTCTCTTGCTACTGCTCCTCACTAGATGGTCCTAATATAGCATGAAGGATATTTAGAAACGAGCCCAAGGTTTTCTGGGGCTTCAGAAAGTGGCCTTTATATTCTATAGCACTTCAGCTAAACCTTCTGAATGTGTAGGGAGTAAGTACAGGGTGCAAACTGGAGATTCAGTGTGGGAGGGCAAATGCCTTCCCTGAGTATTGATTGAACTTGTGTTGATTACTCCAGATGTAGGACATGTCCAGGAGGAAGGGGGATGGTTGGCTGGCCAGAAGCTAATTACCCCTGACCTCACAAATCTTACCCAAGGTTTTCCCTCACATCAGCAGGAAGTAGTGGCCAGGTCTTATGGCCATGAGGATATTTTGAGGAGCTGACGGGGAAGTCAGGTAGGCAGAGAGGACTTACTCTGAAGGGAAAAACAGCCTGTGGGAGGAGGGTGGATAAGCACACAAATCATGTACTTTCCTCTGTCCCTCCTAGTCTTGCAGGTGGCTTATCTGTGAGACTTGACTTCCCACCCTTCTCAGCCTTCTAAGCCTGTTCTCTGTCAGGTATCTTACAGTAAAATGAAGGAGAGGGCGTGAGGGAGGAGAGGCAAGAACAGGAGAAACAGAAATGGGGAGAGACTGAATCAAATTGATTTCATACACAGAGATAGATACACGGAAACAGTAACAGATCCTCTGTGTGTCTTTTGCCTTTCATCATAGAGATTATGCTCATTCTCAAGGGATATTTACTTCCTCACTAAAGAATTTAGAGCCCTCTGCTCTTACCCATAATATTTTCTGAGGTAAACTTGCATTGGGTGCCTCTACTGGCTAAATAATGATTCTTTTGTTTATAAAGAGTTGCAGTGATTCAGAGATGGTGGTCTTATACTGGTTTCCAAACAATTTAGAGCATTTCTGGGAGACAAACCATGCCAGCTACCCTCTTTCCCTCTACATGGACAATTATTGGGACAGATAGGACAGGGATAAAACATGGAGTAGGAAGCAAAGAGCTTATGAGACCTCTAAATCCTCTAAATCTGCTGAAATAGTCTTGTTGGGAGAGGAAGGAGTGTTAAGGGAGGTGGACAGAAATGGATAGACGAGATGATAAAAATCCAGTGGGAATGTTATGATGGAGGAAAGTCAAAGAGTTGATGAATTGTATTATGAAACCACTAAGTTTGCCCATAGGTCACAAATAGAGATGGTTATCTTTCAATTCTTTCTTCTACTTGTGGCATAATTGGAACTTAATGCTTTTAACACTCAGGACTGATATTTGGGTGAATTATTTTCCTAGTTGAGGATGGCAGGAATTCCATCAGGTGGGACTTACAGGAAATAAAACTTCCCATCCTTGAAAAGAATTTTTGCACTATCGTCTTTCTCTGACTACAGCTCCCTATTCCTCCTCCAAAGCCCCTCTTATGAGAAGTGCCAACAGGCAGGATTGCCATGTTAGCTGCAGCATCATTGTTCCCATAGGAGTGGGCAGAGCCCTTTCACCATAGCAGCCCATGCATGGCAAGGCTGAAGTTTTACGAGAGGAACTTTGAGAGTAGAATGAAAAATAAAAAGCCAACCAAACAAGAAAACCAACAAAGTAGGAAGATATGAAAGAGTTAAGAGATCTTTTTACTGGCTGGTAACCTGCTGTGATCCTAAGCTTAGATATTAGATATTTGGTTCTATTGGATTCTAAACCTGTTCTCAGCTTGGTCTTGTGACAAATGGACAGCTCCTGGAGCTGTCTCCTCCACAGAAGTGTCTTTGTCTTTTATGGGTGGGGGAGGCCCTTTCCAGTCTTTCCATAAAGCTCAT